CGCTCACACTGAGCCTGGTTCTGCTGGAGGTTTCTTCCTGTTAAAAGGGAGTTTTTCCTCTCCACTGTTGCTACAAGCATGCCTAGTGTGAGGAATCGCATCCCAGTCGATGAGTTGATGCAATCAAGTGGTTTTCCTTAGATAGAAAACTTTGAATCAATTTGACTGCATGATCTGGTGAACTGCAAAGTGCCTTGAGATGACATTTGTTGTGAATTGGCGCTATAGTAATAAACTGAATTGAATTGAATGCCTGAAGTCATGAGTGCAAGACAAGTTATTTACATGCGTCAATAAAGGCTGCAGGATACTTATATCTGCTCATACCAAGTGCAAGTAAATTGTTTCTCTTATGTTTTCAAGGAAAAGTGATTAAACTGTGCAAATGATATTTAACCAAAGCAGCGCAGCTTATTTTGGTTTGGGGAAATCACAGCTTTTAAATAATTTGGATCATTCCCAAAGTGCCACATGTACAGTGAAAGGAAAAACACTCACAGCTTGGTCCTGTTTAGCCCTCTAACACTGATGTCAGTCCAGCATAGCAAACAATTATTCTGGTACATTAATTTGAGTTTCGTTATCCTTTAGTCAACAGTGAAAAAAAATCACTTTCAAAGACATTTGATGTGAATCTTTTACTTGTTTTCCTTAACGTATGAAAACATTTTAACTTATTTAAAACTTTTTTTCTTCTAGATAATAAATCTACTACAGGCTTACTTTGCATGTAATTAGATCAACTACTGATTTGCCTAGGATACCATGTTGAGTCTGATAACCACCCAGTGCTTTCGTAATGTTATGCCAATTGTGATTTAAAAAACAAAACTAAAGCCAACTCCCTTTAGAAATATTTACCTAAACATACACTTTGGTTTGTGTAACATGAAGCCCATCTTAATAATCATTAAAACAGCTAAAAAGAGTCGAGATTAACCAACGGTTAACCTGACAGCTCATCTTTACCTAGTAAAGCCAGCTAACGGTTAGCCTCCTGACTTCAGCTAACCAGCGTTAGCTCATATGCTACATCGAAACCAACAGTCTTCACACAGGTTTAAGAAGTTGCTCACCATTCGTGTAGGTCTGTGCCGTCCCAGTTCCATTCTGGGAGTTGAACCCGGCGGTTGACATGTTGAAACAGACACCAGAATCTAATTTGGAGGTTCTCGTTTGACTGCCCTGGAAGCTAGCTGACTAGCTCTGACCGTCGCGGAGTAACACTCAAACCTGTGGCTTTGGCGGTGTAGCTCCAAGTAAGTGGTAAAGTCCAAAGCTGAAATCTTCTGTTTACTTTAAATGTCTTGATTGGACGGTTGTTTGCCCTCACAAAGCCATGATTTGTACTCTAGACCCGGTTCGACAACCCACAGGTTAGTGTACGAAGGGCCTGCTGAGAGTAATCTTCTCCCCTTTCACCGGAAGTTGGGATCACCCAGCAGGATCAACGTAAAAAATGGTTGGGCATGCGCAGTATGTACACGTGGCATTTCCTCCTGTGCTCATGATTTTTCCAGAGTACCAGAAACAAGACAAGGGAAACAAGGGATGCACAGAAACTGGGAGGTGACAAAAATCCTCCACCTGTATGGAGCCAGAAAATGTTTCTAGTTAGCCTTTAAATTATAAAGCCAATTTATAGAAAATCTGACCTTTATGTATCCAAAGCAGTTTTTCCTGTCGAAGAACAATAATAATTCATCCTTCTTTTTTCCCCAGAAATGATACACTTTAAAGAGGGTTAGAAGCTAAGCCAATTTTTTTTAAAAGGTCGAAGTAACTAATCCAATATAGCAGATATAAATGTATAGCTGGGATATAATATAATATCATGATATATATATATATATTTCTGTTCAATTACAATCAATTACATAGACTTACACAGTCTTTTTCTAGACAAACATGAAAACATAGATAGATAGACAGACAGATGAATGATAGATAGATGATAGATATATAGACAGACAGACAGATGAATGATAGATGATAGATATATAGACAGACAGATCGATCGATAGATAGATGATAGATATATAGACAGACAGACAGATGAATGATAGATGATAGATATATAGACAGACAGATCGATCGATAGATAGATGATAGATATATAGACAGACAGACAGATGAATGATAGATGATAGATAT